ACATCCCTCTGTAGGACCTCTGCAGAGCAGCGGCATAGTCCACTCTATGACCTTTGTTTGGCACTACTGGCTCAACATCTGCACCTTCAGCAGAGCAGCCCAATCCACAGTCCTCTCCTGGTGGTACCTTCCTTCCCCTGCCTCATGGTAAGTTCACTAATCAGCCATGTGTGATCCACAGAGACCATGAAGAAGAAAGTTAGGTTGCCAACATGGTGACCTTTGAACTAGGGTGAGGCTAATGAATGACCAACCTGTACCATCTGGATACGGGAAGGCATGGTACCAAAACTGCCTGGCACCAGCATGAGGTTGGTGTGTGGGCTGTGTGAATGCACAGGTGACCACTTGAACAATAGTTATGGGTAAGCAACCTAACTTTCTCCCAGTATCATAACACCCTGGATCTATTTCCCACAATAGAGACAATTGCCAGCCTTTTGCATTCTTTCTGTTCTGGCATCAGTGGGTACCACCTAGCATGTATGGGTTACTTCACAGGTAGGATGCACATATCTTGCAGGCATCTGGAGTCAGGCAGCTGAACATAAGCCCCAGATACCCAATGGGCCAGGCAACAATTATCCAGTCACCATTCCACTTTTTCCAGATCTTTCTGCCTCCAGAAACTGGTCCTTGAACCTCATTCCACTCCAAACAATATGAACTGGTGTAGACAAAGACTGTCTCTTGTGCTTGCCAGGGTTTCATCTGTTCCATGAAGCCAATTAAATTAGACAGCAATGGGCTTGCTTGTAGGTAGGGGGTTGTCCCTTTAACTTACTTATTGTCCATACAGCCTATAACAAACTCCATCATGATCCAGTCATCAGAACTGCATATACGAACTTCATCAGGCTAAAATTCTAGACCTGGGGTGCCTGAGCTGCAAGCCGGGGGGCCGCATGCAGCCCAGGATGGCTATGAATGTGGTCCAACACAAAATCGTAAGCTTACTTAAAACATTATGAGATTTTTTTGGGTAACTCAATCGCACAGTTCTCAAGCTTGTACTTTGTAGACGACAATGTTGTGTCGCAATGTCACATAAAATAAATGTACCTATGCTTTCACTATTTGTACACGTGTGGCTTCAGTTTTACAGTTGTGTGCGGCTTCCAGTGTGTTATCTTCCAAGCACAGACAGTCAAATTGACACCATCAGATGTTACATGTGGTCATGCTGACTAGGCGAGTGAAATGCAGTTATTATCAATCATCTTTCAACCTATAGTTGCAAACAATTTTATACATTTCTACAAGTTAGCTAAACACAGTCCTGTGGACAGTGAAAAATATGCAGCCTTGCTTTTTTATTTGATACAAGAATTTGAAATATTTCAAGATTTTTGGGGAAATAATCACTATTTTGGTATATTTGCATCTCCATTTTCAGTTATGCTACCTGCCAATTTTCCAATGGAATGTATAGAGCTGCAGTCTGACATTCAACTTAAAAAATGATCTTGGACTTTTATAGGTCCTCTCATCCCAGAGACAAATATCCCTCGCTTCACAATCACGCCTTATTCATGTCTTCACTTTTTGGCAGCACCTACACGTGTGAGCAACTATTTTCAAGAATGAAGCACACTAAGACTAAAATTAGAACCAGAATATCTGATGAGCTCCTTGAGAACTCACTGAGAATTGTGACTACTTCCATCAAACCAAATATTGATCCATTAGTTTCTCAAATACAATGTCAAATTTCTCACTAGTTTTATGTTGCCCTCTTTTCTTTTACCTTTATAATAAAAAATAAAAAATCAATGAAATTTTATTACTTAGGTATGTTCATTTTCTCCATTAGTGATTACAAACTTTGGACTTGCTCGATGATTGTAAAAGACTCTCTGAACAGGGTGCTATATAATTAGGATTATGTGAGGACTTTTTTGCTTATCTGTGGTGGCAGATAGCACAAAAATTATGCACAGACTTTTTTTTTTTTTTTTTTTTTTTTCAGCTTTTTTTTTCTTTTTTTTTTTTTTTTTTTTTCCCAAAAAATTTTTTTCTTTTTTTTTTTTTTTTTTTTTTGCTTATCAGCTTTTGTTAGCATTTGTGTATTTAATGTGCTGCCCAAAACATTTTTTCCTTCCAATGCAGCCCAGAGAAGCCAAAAAGTTGGACACCCCTGCTCTAGACATTTCTCAAGAGACTAATCAGACTTCTCGGGATACAACTGAGCATTTGTGTTTTGTTTGACATCATGAATGCTGAGATGCAAGTTAATCCATCTGAGCTTTAAGCGTAGCTACTGTAATTGTGATCTGATTCACCTGCTCCTGTATGATCTGATTTTCCTGCAGAATCTGATTTTTCTCCATTTTGCATTGAAAAATTAAGGGCTTAGAAGAAAAAAAGTGTCCTATTTCAACTAGCTGCAGATCTTTGCTATGTAAAACACATGGTTAAGTACAATGGGGAACAGATTATCAGAGAAGTTGAAGTGCCCCATAACTACTATGCCATGCCTCCTTGAAGCATTTGCAGAACTCCACTCACTGTTTCTTTTATTCCTTGCTCCATTTATATTAATCCAGATGCTCATTCTCCTGTATTTCTGTGCAGAGACATGTGTCTTTAACATACACTGCAACTCCGCCTCCCTTCCTGTCTTTCTGTTCTTCTTGAACAAGTTATATTCTTCATCTATTGAAGTCAAGTCCAGGGAGAAATCCCACCAAGTTTTGGTTACACCTATCAGGAGTTCAAGTGCTGTTTGTTTCCTACACTCCAGGCATTTGTATATAAACATCTAAGACCACATGCTTTTATACTCTAGCTTTGTTCCTACATTTTTTGGAAGAATTTTTGGGCACTGTTAGAGCTGCTCTCTCTCTTGTGGTGCATAAGCCTTTGTTGTTACACCCAGGTGTAAAGCTTAAAGATCCCTAAAGCTTCAAACTCTGGTGTGATTTCTTCAAAGCTCTGCTTGGTAGTATCATTTGTTCCCACATGTATAAGGAGGAGGGGATACATGTCAATGTATTTTATGAGCCTTGGCAATCCTTCAGTTATAGCACTAATCTGTGCTGCAGAGAGACAGCATGCCTGATGAATCCATGAGTCTTCCTGACATACATGTTTTTCCATCCCACTCAACTGAGTGTTTCCCACAACTAACACTCTTGTTGTTGTTGCAAGCCTTGGTATCATTGCTACTACTTGGTTGAGCTTTAGCCTCTTGCTGAGTTGGACCAGATGACTTGCAGGTCTTCCAATGCAGTCTCATCCACGAGTAACTGAACAGCAGTTGGAGAGATCTGCTTCCACTGGCGCAGAGTGTCTTCTAGTTCTTAAGCACCTAAGTGTCACCCTCTTCCAAAGAGTTTCCTCCTCATTTTCCCTTCCATCAGGATTCTTCTCTGCCGATTCATTTGTTTCTCTTCTAGCTCCTGTAGTACACTTAACTGTTGCAATTCCACCACTGTCTAAAAAGCTCTTCATCTTCTCTTACTCCCTTGAGCTCTAATGCTCTTACCTTTTCTTCCAACAGGGCTGCTAGCCTGCACTTGCTGCATCCGTAGGGCATGTTGACCTCAGGCAAGAAAACAAACATTGCACAGACCATGCAGATTACCACCACTAGGAAGTCTTCTCAGTTCATATTCTCTACTGCCTTTTTGATTTTACCTTGCTGGTCATGTTGTAACAACCAGTGCTTTCTCCTGTCTTCCCTAAAAGTTAACAACAAAGTCCTTCCAGAATATAAGAATGTGTTACAAGGAAGGGGAAAAAAGGAAAAGAGGAAAAAGGTGTTTATTTGTTTTAATCTTAGGGACCTCCCCTGCTGAGCTCCACTAGCAAACTCCCGTTAGCTCTGCCTGTTTCTTGTTCAGATTGCTTGCTCTTTGGGAGCTTGGTTGCTTCTACACAATAATCCTTAGACCAGCTGGAGCAGCTTCCTCTGATCTGCTCAGCTAGGAATCAGGAACCAGAAGTAACATGGAAAACACAACACAGGTCAAAGTCAGAGAAACAAAATACCAAGAAATACATTGTTTTCAACAAAGCTTAGACTGATAATGCAGTCTGTGTTACCAGAGCTTTTTGAGCCCCACCCAAAGATCAACCGCAGTACATCACAAGCCGTGCCCGGAGGAGTTCCCTCATCTTGAAGAGTTCTTTGTTGAGTCAAGTGGTTTTCTTTAAAGCAGCCCTGCTGATTTGGCTCTTAAGGCAACAGTGCTTTGTAGGATTGGGGGTTAATCAGTGTCTGAATAGGGGTCCTAATATGGGTGGTTCCAAGACTTCCTCTGTCTCTAAGAACTGTAGTTCATTGCAGGAGGAGGAGGAGTTCTGCTGCAAAAGTATTACAAGTAGGGTGCATTGTATATCATTTCTCATCATACATAATAGTGTTAAATATAAAACAATAACTACAGAAAGTATGACTAATATTAAAAGTTAGAGGTGCCTATAGGAGTGTATTACTTATTTATCATTAAACCACAGAGCTCCCCTTTGCTTTGTATATCTTTGTCCTGAGTTGCTTAACACCTGTATTTTCCTGTTCTCATTTTGCTATCATATTTGCCTGATTAAAAACTAAAGAGATGGTCTGTGTTCCTCCATATACAAACATACTTTTTTCTAATTTGTAGTCTGTAGAGGGAATTAGAGTGATAGAAATGATCCTCTTGGGTCAATCCTCAAAATTGCTTGTCTTCATTGTATACCGTAGTATCCCAGGTATTTGGGTTGCTAGCAAAATATTTTTTGTATTAATTTCTGTGGTGTTTCCCTCCATCCCTAACCACCAAATACATTCATCAATAACTACAAGTGGTTGCTTGACTTGGCTATGGTGTCCAAAATCAGCAGTACCATTTTCTGCTGAGGTGTTGTATTAATATTTCAAATAAGACAGTATCGTTGTTATTATTACATTGCTTTCTTTTCCTCTTGCAAGGAACCCATTGCTATTAATTAAGCAAGAAGTTTAAAAGCTTTTAGTATATATTCATTCTGTTGATTTGTTTCTCTTCATATAGATCCTGACTGGGCAAGCTTAAATCTGGGAGCACTCATGTGTATCGAATGCTCAGGGATACACCGAAACCTTGGCACACATTTGTCACGTGTCCGTTCACTTGACCTGGATGACTGGCCTATAGAACTCATCAAAGTAATGTCCTCCATTGGAAATGAGTTAGCAAACAGTGTGTGGGAAGAAAATACCCAGGGACGTACAAAACCCTCTCCAGACTCAACAAGGTAGGCTGCTTCGGCCACTTTAAAAGCATGTATGAAAAATAACCAATATTTTAAAAACAGACCTGTAAACTTGGAAATGTTCATCTTTCAAAAGTTCCTAAAGGCTTTAGGGCAGTGACTTGTCCAGGATCCCCCTCCCCATAACCTTTGCAATGCAGTTTGAATCTCATCCTCGATTTTACATCGAAGTCCAATAGTACATATGAGGCCTTTGTTACACAGGTCTAATGTCCAAAGTAAGGGGGAAGGATGACTAAAACCTAAGTCAGTGAGGCTTTACAAAGCTCTGACCTGGTACCACCCATCTTTAGTGATGCCTGATTCATGGAAAAACAAAGAGACTGATCTGGTTCATACTTCATGCTAATAAGTCAGAATATGCATAATATGCACCATGTGCGGCCTCTTTCCTGCCTCTTCACTCCTTTCATGTGAGCAACAAAGCAAATCAGGACTCAGCACTTAAGCATAGCATCCAGATATGGCAAGGAAGATGAGATGCTTTCAAACAAACCAGGACCTGTATGCCACTTTCAAAACCTTTAAAGGAAGCTCCTGCTCTGTTTGGAAGCAACCAACCATAATGGGAAGCTGAATTTAGAAGCTGAATACAGCAGTTTTGGATGCTTCATGCTATTTGTACAAATCCTGGCTTATTAAGCTAGGAGTTTTGGCTTCCAAATAGGTGTAAATGCAGCCACTGAGACTCTAACCCAAAACATAACTGGTTTCTTTCTAGTCTTCTTCTTGGGTAGTATGAAGTGGTCTAAATTCTTGAGTCTGTATCCACTTTTTCTCAAGAATGCTTCAGTGACTGACTTGTCAGACTTTTTTATTTATTAGCACACCATGCTCTCTTACATTGGGTCAAACCAAGTGCTGCTACTCCCTCACGGTGGGGTTCTTTTTGCTCTATTAAAGCAAGTTCCTTTCAGTATCAGCAGTTCTGCTCCAACAAGGAGCAAAACTCTTACAATGTCTGATAGTCATTACCTCTAACTGGTGCGAGGATCATATTCAACATTTCCAAAACTTCACACAACCTTAAGTATGGGAATATGAGTCAATGCCAAATTTCTATAATGGTCTCTGTTCTGTGTCCCGGACAAAGTTCACCAACATCCCATGCAAAGCTGGCTGTGAGGCTCTGAGGCAGCGCCAGGGCTCCCTCTTCTGGCCAGAGGCCAGAATAGCAGCCCTGGTGGTTGCAGGACCGGGCCCGCAGTCAGTTGCAGCCACCTGAGATGTTATGAGCACCACCTGGGAGCCCTGAGGGTAGAGCTATATAAGAAGAGGCTCTTTCATAATGAAGATCTTTGGTGTTGTTGTTGGAGAACTCTGTGTCTCCTAGGGCCTTGCTCCCGCCTCTACTTCTTGGCCATGCCTGGCTTTGCCTGCTCGGCCTCCTGCTCCCATCCGGTCCTGGGAGTCCACTTCTCAGCTTGTCTCTCTGGCTTTTGACTCCTGGCTGGCATTCACTACTCTGCTCTGTTTGGACTGACCTACTTTGTACTTCTGTTACCCATCTTGATCTCTGGATTGCCTGACTATGATTTGGAATGGGCCTGAATATTGTGCCAGTTGCCTGGGTCCTGGTGCCCTGAGCTGATACCCAGCCACCCACGCCCTAGATGCTGACACTGGCAAAGAGAAGGGTGGTGTGTGAACCCCAAACAGTTTCTTTCCCATATAGCTTCAGTTCAAGAGTATAATCAGAACAAATGGTTTATCTTGCTTCTGTGATGCAGTGCTTTGCTAAGCAAGCCAGTTGTGCACTTCAATCTGACTGGCACTGTGCTGTTGCTCCACCAGGCTCCACTTACCTTACATGGAGTAGTCCCAGAGCTCTCAGTGAGTTGTCTGCCTGGCATAAGACAGTAATCAGCTGAGGCCTCTTGGCTGCAGTCAGATAGCTTCCCCATAAGCAGAAGTAAGGAAACACATGTGGGTGAGTCAAAGGGCTGGGTAGTTTGGGAGTGAGAAGCCTCTTTTGAAAAGACCAGAAGCTCACCCTCAGTTGCAAAATGGAAGACAGTGTTTAGTTAGGGAATATAAATTAGAGATAAAAATGAATGTAGGAAAGGTAATTGAAAATAACCAAGGTAAAATTGAGTGGTCACGGGGGGGGAGGGGGGGTGAACAAAGTTACGGGGTGAAAGGGATAAAGGCCCATACATCAGTGATACATTGGATAGAAGGAGAAACAGTTGTCTAACCTGTTTCACCAATCAGAGGACATCAATCTTGTCACCCTCTGGGTCCTGAGGTAGACTAACTTTAGCTTGTAACTTTAAATGTTGTCTTCAGAAACAGAAATCATGCAAATTCCAGTAGAGATGATATTTGTATTTGGCGTATGTTTAATGGGCTTCTCTGTTTCCTCTTCTAGAACATTAAAAACTACGAATTTTTAATATCTCTTTAAAATTAGGGAAATGTGTACCCTAATGTCAACAGTAATTTATTACATTAGATAATAAACATTAAAACAACCAAAGCTCTCTAAGCCATTCACAGTGTATGATAAAAAATATAAAATATCTAATATACAAAATACAAAACAATTTAAACAGTTACAACAGATACAATAATTATTATTCAGTCTTAGAAGAACAACTAGTATAAATGTCCACTCATATAAAGAATGAAATCACCAATTAACCTTTAGATAGTAAGACTGTATAATTAGCTATATTTATTTAGAATGTGTATAAGTGATATAAAGATGCATCTTGAAGTAGATCTAATTTCTGCAATCCAGAGAGGTCTCCCTATGCTCCACTGAAATAAAAAATACTTAACTGTCATAAAAACTCAGTTATTTCAGGGGATCAGGTGTGCATAATCTTCTCTGGAAGGAACACTTTTCAGCACATTTCACAGCATGGCTTTTTAACCATTAAGTTGCATTGTTAATTGATATTGCATGTCCTTATTCTGTGAAACAGACCCTGGAAAGTTGCAAGTGGTATAACTTTCATTGGTTTTTTTTAAAAAATCACTCTTTTAATTTTTAATTTCAGTTATAATTTCAGAATATAACATCCTCCTTCACTCCTGCTTTTTCAAATCTTAAGTTACCATTTTGCATCAACTCTTATTCCTTTAATAAAGTTTCTAAAGTTAGAATTTCAAACACAAGGGGTCAGCAAAACCAAAAAAAAATCCCCTATCTGTTTCCACCTACGTGATAAATGAAATACAAATTTAATGCAGAAATCAAGTATGTGCCTCTGGCAAACACATTGGAAACCAGAATAGGTGCCTTATCTTTAATTTTTTTTTAAGCAAGAGTGATTGTCTTTTAGGAAAAATGTACTGTTCTCCTTCTTTTGAATTGAAACCTGCTGGTTGCAAATGAAAGTAATCAACAGGTAGCGTTTGATGTAACAGGATTAATTTTCTTAATTGCTTAAAGGTGTGGGTGAGATCCAGTTCAAGTTGCTTCACCAATACGATGTCTGGCAGAAGAACAGAGAAGAAATTCCTCCTTCCCCCAAATGCCTCACATGTCCCTAAACCTTGCCTGGGAGGTAACACAACAACAACAACATTATTTCTATATCTCCCATAACTAAAGCTTTCTGGGCAATTCACAACATTTAAGTCACCCATCCAGATTTCAACCATGCCTGATCCTGCTTAATTTCCAATATTAGACAGGACCAGATGCCATGATCTTAGTTTTCTTAATGTTGAGTTTCAAGCCAACTTTTGCGCTCTCCTCCTTCACCCGTATCAAGATGCTCTTTAGTTGCTCTTCACTTTCTGCCATGAGAGTGGTATCATCTGCATATCTGAGGTAGTTCATTTTTCTCCCAGCAATCTTAATTCCAACTGGTGATTCATCTAGCCCCGCCTTTCTCATGATGTGCTCTGCATATAAGTTAAATAGGCAGGGCAACAGTATACAGCCTTACCGAACTCCTTTCTCAATTTTGAACCAATCAGTGGTTCCGTGCCCAGTTCTCACTGTTGCTTCTTCATCTGCATATAGGTTTCTCAAGAGACAAATAAGATGGTTTGGTACTCCCATCTCTTGAAGAACTTGCCACAATTTGTTGTGATCCACACAATCAAAGGCTTTAGCATAGTCAATGAAGCAGAAGTAGATGTTTTTCTGGAACTCCCTAGCTTTCTCCATGATCCAGCGTATGTTGGCAATTCTAGGTTGATAGGGCAGCCCAGGGTAGAGCTTGTTAAAAAAAATATAAATGGGAGGTGATAAAGCTGTGAATCAGAGTGGCTAGATCTCCAGCAAACCCTTTTCCAGGAAAAATTAACTGGGCAAAGGGGCTCCTGGCCATAGAAAACATCTGAACTTCCAAGAGCAAAACTAGGTCTGAAACATCCCTAATCTGGAAATCACATTCTCAGAGGGAATACAGCTCCTTCCAGAACAGGTTGTACCCCCAGTCGCAGGTTGGCTTCTCTACAGAATCTCATTTGAAATGAGCCTCAACTAAAATGTTTATTTTCCTTGTCCATTTTAATCACATAAAGCAATGTGGTGGGGTTATAAAAAGCATACAATATTTCAACTGTTACAGTGGGCTATTCTGCATTGCTACTTAAAATACTGCAGTCTTTTGAAATGAAAGCCTTCAAAATTGCAGAAATGTTTTTTTTCCAAACTACTTAAGCTTGATTTAGAGAAGCAAAAAGTGCTCTGCAATCACAGCAAGTGCAGTCATATTACAAAGCCGCTGATGAGGGAAAGAAAGCACAGAAGAGATCATTCTGTAAGCCAGTTTGTGAAGTGATCAAAGGTTAAACAAGCTGTCATGTTTACAGGATGGGGGTATGCCAAGCACAATTTGCTTATACTTAAAGCAATGGCTTGTCATGTTGTCTGAACCCAGGTAGCATGGCTTATTTAAAGCCGAAACAGCCCTCAAAAAGGTGTACAAAAACACCTGGATTTTTCCAACTTCAGACAAACCATGTCCCATGGGAATGATTTCATTTATTTATTTAAAATTTTTGTAGACCGTCCTATT